ACCTTGATACCCCAACAATTACCCAGAACTAGATAATTTATGAATTTTTTAATTTGTACCCAACCTGTTTACATTTATTACATAACAAGTCCACTAAATTTAATATTTAATATTAAAAAAGTTTCATTAAAATATATTATCCAAATGTGCATGCTAGCACGGGTCGTTTATTGATGAACGATGTACTTTGGAAAGTTGTTGGGCTAGGGAAAATGCAGGACCGATTAAGAAACGTAGGCCCAGAAATAAGTACGGCCCATTTCTCGTCGTCGTGACGTAGCTGCAGCACATAGAGGAAGAGGGTCGAACCGTAGAAAGAAAGCTGAAGAAATGGATGCAGCGTATTCATGGCTGCGACGAAGTGTTTCCAACCTCAGAAAGACGACTTCACCCTCCTCAACAACCACCATCGCCACCTACGCCGCTGCTCCGTATTCTAATCGGAGCTCCGAAAACAAATTACAGGAAGAGGAAGAGGAAGAGGAAGAGGAGAAAACCTACGGAATAACTGATCAATTGATAGATTTCGTCAAGTCCTTCACTCTAGAAACCTTCAATAACTTCTCTCTCCCTAGTATTGCTCAATCTTCCTTTTCTTTTTATAATGTTGGCTTTATTGGCCTGCATGCTTTCGTATGTGGGAATAATGTTCGATTTCGTGTGTGTATTTGCAGATGAAGACGAAAGTCGTTGTGACGGTGGGAATTCTGGGCATTTGCGGAGGGATCTTTCTGATTGGCAAGAAAAACATGCTATGCTTGTTTTAACCAGAGTCAAGGTAATTTTGAACTATGGAGATGAGAGTTTGTCTAATTTTTGCTTAAACACATATGGTTAACTGTGAGGACAGGCATTTTATTAACTTTGTCCCAATTGTAAAATTATGGTGTAGTCTTGAAGTTTGAATGTGTAATGTTGTTACTGAATAACAGCAGTGAAAAGCGAACATAGTTAAAGCTAGTTTCTGACTTTTGTAGTTAATATGCGAAAAATTGGATGTGGGAATAAATTGTTGCTCTCACAATTCTATGATGGAGAGAGATAATGTGTGTCCATGTGAATTGGCGATGTGTGTGTTGTATCTTTGAATCAATTTTTCGAAAACCATTTTTTTTGCAAACTTTGGATGATGGGTTTTCATATCTGATTATTATATTTGCTTGATTGACCTTGAAAAGTTGTGCATCATTTGCTAAATCATATTTATGGTTGTCCTCAGGAACTAACACAACTACGATTTCAGTTATGCCCTCGCCATTTGAAGGAAAGGCAGTTTTGGAGAATATACTTCAGTCTTGTTAAGAGTTTCGTGGCAGAGTACGCTTTCTGACTTTCCTTCTTCTGTATTTGTCAATGCTTGATGGATCTGTACTCATCTGCTTATATAGCAGTGCAGGTGCTATATGATGCTTAGACCATTGCTATTACTAAATCTTGAAACATGTAATTTGTGTGGGGGAATGTTTATTTCTGTAACAATGACATTTTATTCGAGGAATAGAGTTAAAGCTGGATAGAATGATATGCAATGAGTTCTAGTTCATCTGGTGACATGAAGTATGGAATTAAATGATGCAAACTTTTGCAGCTAAAGCAGCAATGAATTTGGCACAATATCCCATCTGCTAGGAATATTTTTTACTCCTGCAAATTAATAGAGCTGAGCTCCTAATATGAACATTGAAACCTTTCAGTTCCTCCTATTAGTGAAATAATAAAACACCAAAGAATGTCATAAAATTTGCGAGCTTTCGATTTTTCTTCCTAGTCCTGAATGGCCCAAATTGAAGGAACTATGATTCTTATATCTCTTCATTGTCTGGGCCTTGGGGTTTGTTTCTCTCTAGTTGTTGCTTCTGTATATTTATGATCTCCAATAATTAGGGCTTGATTGGATATGAATCCAACCGGTTTTGGTTGGATTTAGTTGGCGAAAGTGAGTTATTTTGAATAAAATTGATTGAGTGAATGAAAGGATGGTAGAATGGTGATGAATTTGCAGATTTGGTGAATTTAGAACAAAGTAGTCAAATTTATCATCATTTTATCAATTTATCGTGCTACTTTGCCTTACAATTATCACGATATACCGTGATTGTAAATCTCGTTGTAAAAAGCCGTTGTACATGTAGCACTGCTCATGCTAAAAACATATTGGTAATGAGGAGATTACCTTTAAAGCAATTTACTTTATTTCAGTTGCATAATTTGGCCTGTCTTATTCTAGAGGTTCATTTGAATTAGATAATAATATACTGTTGGTATATTTAGTCATGATTCATAAGTACTTGTTTTCAAATGGATGCATAACTTAAAGGAAGTATGTTAAGTCGGTGAAAAGTAGATACTTGAAGTTGAGCTAATTAAAGAAGCCAATATCTGAATATACTTGGCAAAACACAATCAATCTGCTCATTTGTTTCCAAGTGATTGAATGAGTTTTTCGGTTGAGCCAAAGCTTTTTGCACGAATGCCTGCCTGTTTACTACAAAATTCAGTCGTTTATAACCATTGGCCTCCACTTTTCTCCATTTGTCTTACAGCGTTATGGCATCTTAATATTCAGAAACATGAAATGTATATATTCTTTGTCCTTTTCATGATCAGATATGAGCTGCGAGCTGTACAATTAGCCAAACTCAGACTGATGAGAATGGGAAATGAAACTGCCTCTAACAGTAGTCCATGTGAAGTTGAAATGTCTGAAACAAAATTAATAATGTCTATGGAGACTGCAAATTATGTTGATCAAAGTTAAAAGCCATCGTATCATACGACAAGGTACTTATTTTCTGTTTCTAAATAATTCAATTACCAAAACACAGAGCCCAAATTTCTTTTAAAATTATGAATACTACACCTCCATTTGATTGGTTTACAAATCTAATCCTCAATAGGCGAATCTCTGTAAAAAAAATGCAGAACTCAAGTGGGTGTTTGTAATTTTGAGAGAGAATTGGTATTTAAACTTTTTAAGGGTTAATTCTGCAATTAATTATTTGCTCCGAGTTGATACAACTATATTTCACCTATCTTTTTATTCATTTTCTTGTGGTAACTAGGGTGGAATTGTTCCTTGGTCCTGTGATTCAGTTTTATCTTATGGGAAAACATGGAAATGATGCTAAATTAATATATCGTCGTCTACTGGAGAGTGGAGACAGAGAGGCTCTGTACTGAAGCCTATTCTACCTTGTAAGCAGTANGAGCTTCTATTAAAATCAACAGTAGACCTACTGGTTATTTGATCCGGGAGTTGGAAATGTATATATTTGCTGCAATGTAAATGCTTTTGCAATGATCCTAATATTTTTTAGGTGTCAATATTAATGTACAAATACCTGTCAACAAATATATATGCTGCTAACTGGGAAGTTCCATTTTTGGTTATTTCCTTCAGTATTAGATGGAGTGCAATGACGATTTTAAACTTCTAACAGACAGCAAAAATGATTTCAACAGAATATTTGATGTGTTATGGAACATCAGTGTTTGATGTATTCATTGTTGTTCATTTTCATTTATTTGTACTTTTTTTTTTTTCTTATTATTCTTTTTTACAAGTTTCATCCCTTCAAGAAGGGACAAAATAGGGTACCAAGTAAAATAGTTAATAAAATTTAACTGAGTAGGCTGAAAAGATTTGAACACGGAAATTCAAACAGAGAGATCCTGTAAGAATCTTGTAGTACTGATACACGGACAAAATAGGGACCAATTTCTTTCACCTTTGATGTTGCACTTACCGATGTGTTGAATTCTAGTCTAGTCGACATTTTCTCCCCAAGCAAAAAAGGACAAAAAAAGAAGAAAAATTACCCTTTAATTATGTAACATTGTCCGACTACATCTCACTTCAAGAGCAATTTAAAGAAATGTCCACGATTCTGAGAAACGGAAACCAAAGAAGTAAAAAGCCAAAGTACGGCGATGCGAAATGAATGCTATCTTACTATGGACCAAAGTCAAATCCATATAAAAAAGTTGAGTAGTATATCTTACTAAGGCGAAGGACCAAAAGCCAATACATATATCCATATATATATATAGGATTTGGTTCAAATGAGAACTAAGTCCTAGCGTGAGAACCGTGAGAACTACTATTTTTAATTGTATGTAGTGCTATGATTGATTGTATTTTAGTGCTATTTTTAATCAGGATGTATTTTATTAAAAATAGCAACACAATTTATGTTAGCATTTGTAAAAATGATAGCACCATGTGAGATTAAAAATAGCATCATACACAATTAAAAAATAGCATCAAATATGGTTCTCACGGTTCTCACACCAGGACTAGTTTTTATTTGAACCAACCCCTATATATATATATATATATATATATATATATATATATA